ACTTGGCCATTGTTGGAACAGGACCAGGACTGTTGGTGTTTTGATATCGACGCTGCATGCTGCAGGAGTGGTGACGTAAGCGGAAGTGTAATACCGAAATGGAACGCAGAGATTTAGGCAGTCGCAAATACACAATGACGCAATTTCTTGATCTTCATAGGTTACGATGACTGGTCCTTCATGTCCTTCATGTGTGCGTTTTCACAACCATTAATCATGCATTTTCGTGGGCCAGGTTTTTTTGCTGTCGTTTAACCACCCATTTGTAAAAAGAACTGAATGAAGACTGGAATGTTGAGAGTAGAGTCAAAATGAAGGTAGATAACTCATACAGATTGGCTTGCAAGAATAATGATTAGATGCACGAGCACCACTGGTTTTGACACCCAGCCATACCACTCAATGTCTCCAATCACCTATTATCATGATCTCGGTGTCCCCGTGCAAGAAGCCTAACGGGAACCTTGTGACGGATTCTCCTGGTTATGGTTTTCATACCCCCATGTTAGGTCTTAGTTTGACCGCCCTTGATCTTTCCCTAACCGCTTTCGGACTCGCCAAACACCGCATGTTGTGGCAACCTATTTGGTGACATGCGCAATATATGTCCCTTCCAGCGTAGTCTTGTTCCAGTGGACCACCGCGATTGCCTAATGCGCTGTGCCTATTCTCAGCATTGCTTGTCCGATTGTCACACCAGATTCATGCAATGCTGCGTAGACAGCGATGTTCGAAAACCGACAATCTATTTGTTTCCTGTTTCCTTAATGGCCAAGTCTCTGCACCGCATAGCAACACTGCTACAGTATATACTCGACCCTTCACAGACAGCCAGATGTCGCGACGGTGCTACAGATGTCTCAAGTTGACAAATGTCAATCGAGCCTTCTTTATGCGTGCCAACACTTCATCTTTGACGCGTCCGCCAAGCGAGGTATAGCTATCCAAATAAGGTGTCACCGGAAAGGCTTCCGTGCTACATTGTGTTTGCTGAGGCAGTTAGGGGGTGGAAGAAGATTGAGAGCGGTCAAAATAAAACATGGTTTGAAGGTATGAAAACCTTGATCAGGCTATTAGTTACATAGGGTTCAATAGGCTTCTTGGCTGGGTACCTTATGACCCACCTATCGATTGTTCCAGATACCGGGGAATATGCCTGCGTCTTATACAACTGGCTTTTGTGCATCCACTCAGTGTGTACTTGGATCTATTTTCAATCACCTTCTGTAACTTAGTTTTGATGTTGTCTTTCACCTTAAACACTTCGGTTTGCTCTTTCCTCATAAGTCGAACAAGTGGGTAGGTGAAGGAGAGCAACCAATGCTAATGATTGTGAAACGTGAAACTAAAAAAAAACTATGATATATATATATATATATATATATATATCAAGTTTGCAGATACGACGCCAAGATGGCCATGGTTTGCAAGAAGGTAACAGGAACGTAACAAAAATCAGTTGGTATTGGGTGGGGGATAGTAAAACATTCTTTATTTGTTTATTGCACGCAATTTAAAACGTTTTGTTGTTTATTTTTCGTATTGTAAACATATCACAATACATTCACGTCACAACAAATAAATGGACCACTTAAAATGGTGCATGTTATGCAAGTAGTATATTTGGTGGTTAAGGTGACCCCACTCTGCTCAGTGATTGACGATGTGGTAGTCGATCGATTACAAGTCCGTATGTTTGTCTTCTGATCCGTTTATTACTCGTGACTGATGCATCGCGCTGTCCCTTTCAGTTTAACATTTTACCTCGTCCCAAGCGGTCCAAAGTTCCGGTCGCATATACAAAAACCTACCTGTTTCTTTGCCCTGTGATACGACTAGCATAACGCAGGGACTGAAGGTCTTGGAGTCCAACCGACCGCGTTGTTACGTTCGACCTTGTACCTCGATAAAACCTCCCACCGACACAGATGTTGCAGTCCTATGTTTGTCAGATCACCTCGCTTACTGGGCTACCACTGGTTCGTCACACAAAAGCCTATGTGGGTGAATCAATCAACTGTGATCGGGAACTGAGGGTTTGGTCGGAGCTATCCACACCCAACCGTCGAATATCACGTACTGCTTACTGAAAATGATAACAGATTTGCTAGTCTGTCAAGTGCGCCTTACACATGCTCTTTACATTCAAACATACAAGATAAACTTATCGATTACATATTGTTGTAAACATATGCCGACTGATTAGCAGTCGGGAGTTTGGGCTATCTAAGAAAACAAAACATTCACTTGCAGCTGGTGAATTATAGTTTAGTACTGTTTTACTACTGGATTGCTTGTCCACAATGCGATCATTGAAGCTTATTGGTGAATCCCATAGTGTGATATTGCAAGCTTCTTCAATTGTAAATTTATTGCTTTCAGTTATTCTCAGGAATTCTGTTGACTCTGCCCAGACAACAAGGAGGCACTGGGAAATCTCCTGAAGCTACCGTACAAGAATTGGCCGCTGATATTCTCTCCAAGCTGCCGCCAGATTTCAAGATGAAGGAAGTATGTTTGTGTGATTAAGATCTAACCTTTTAAGCGTATAAATACAACCTGAGATTTTTCTTGAACGGAATAGTTTGCACTTTGTTGTTCCATTTCATGGAAAATGTCTTACTGTTATCACCTACAAACGACTCTAGAAGAAATTTCACGTTTTACTGCATATACAAGGCGTGTGTTGTGCAGGGCCTTGAAAGCTAGGCTTTGAAGTTCACTTTTTCTGTTCTATATTCTACGAAATTCCTCGTTTGATATCGTTAAACACCACTACTCGTTTGTAACTAGTAGTCAGGCTCGGAACGTTTCCGACCAAGTCATGACCTTGGAGGCTGAAGTGCTGAAACAAGCAAGTTTCGTTGAAAGTTTCGTTTGAAATGTGCTCTGTGGGACTGCTTCGGCAAGTTTCGTTGTCTGTAACAAATTTGTGAAAATGGGTTTTACTGTACCGGTGGCGGCTCGGTGATGACATTACCAAGTTATCACCCAGGGGATGTGTGCTTCCATCTCACCACCACCGCCGAATTTTCCCCCGTTGTGTGTTGCATCGCAGCCCTTTGATGGGCTGCTTCCCCCATCCTGAAAATTGTATCTTTTTATATTCAATAAGAGAAAGTAAAAGAAAAAATAGAAAGAAACTGTAGATAAAATCAATTAATCTGATCAGTTTATTGGTGTTCAACTGAATAGCCTGCTGTATGCTGCATGTCTTGCTTCGGAGTTCACTTCTCACTTGGGTCGGGTGAACTATCACTTCGGATGTGATCTAACAAAATCGAAAAAGCGGTCCAGTACATTTTGGATTCTCGATTCACGGTTTATTTGTTCTATTCACAAGGAAATTCCTTGTTTCAGGTCCGCACGGTGGGGATGCGTTATGAAAGTGCTTTGATAATGTTTCGTTTTTGACAAAAGAAACCGAAATTGAAGAACTGGAAATTATAATCTGACCAAAACGTTGCTAAAGACGACTGAAATTTGCATAGGTTGAGAGAGTAATTGGAGAAGGAAGTTGATTATATATATATATATATATATATATATATATATATATATATATATC